TCCTGTTTTTATGAATTGACTTTGGCTACTCAGTGCTCCTATGAACTTTTTTGAACTCTTATGAACTTTCAGGAACTTTTATGGACTTTTTACCAACTTTCATGAACTTTGATGGACTTTGGGGTGGCTGAAATGAATTCTCCTTTGACCCCACATGCCTCCCCCTTTCCCTATGAACTCTGTGTATGCCCCATGCCCCATTAATTTTATGTATGTATGTCTATATTAGAAATTATGGAGACAAAGTGACCTTTTCATGAACCATACCAGCAACTCGTGGCTCCAGGAATTTCCAAACTTCCTCAGCCAATAATTCCCTAAGAAAGGACTTGACCAAATCCCATTTGCATGGACAATAAGTAAATGGCTCCTTTTTCCCCCCTGGATCTTGAAGGGCCTTGATGGCCAGGCCCTCCATGACAATGGAGTCTCTGAACATACTGAATCACTCAACACAAAGGACATCTCCCCATCTGCGAGGAAAAGGGGATTGTCGCTGCCTCCCCCTCCCCCCTGCTGTGTAATTTTCCCATCTCTGAAACCAATATCAACTTTATCAATGGAATAAATATCGCAGGACAATAAAATAATGGACCTGGCCTTTTGGGGCCAGACAAAAATGTTGTTCCAAAAGATCAGGACAATAACCCTGACTAGGCTGGAGAGCCTAAAGCTATCCCTTGGTTGCTTGGCAAACACTAGTCATTCGTAATCCTATCATTCATTCATTGTTTCCTGTCTGGCCCGCCTCCCTCCTGCTCATTGGCTGAGTGGCAGAAGCAGGGGTAGCGCTTTGATTGGGGAGAACGCAGACTGAAATAAAACCTCTGTGGCTTTCCTTCAACTTGGTGAGACTTTATTTGGGAAATTTAGGGAAAAAATCTTCCTTGATGCTTGCTGTCTTGCCAGGTGTTCCGGATCCTCCTTATGTGTCTGGCCGGCCTCTGCCTAAGCAGGGCCTCCCAAATTCGTGTTTGTCATCAAAGGTACACTTAGTAAAATTTGAGTAGGAATATAAAAACAAGAACTTAGAATGCTTCCAGGAAACTAAAATCCAAAACCAAAGGCTTGACTTGAAACAAGAACCAGAGAACTCAGGCTTAGCTTCTGACTTGAACGATACATTGCCTGAACTAACTCATAGGTAAACAACTTACTAACAGCTTACCCATGAAGTCATGTCTTTTCCTACGAAATCTCTCCTCTACTTTCACACCTAAGTGCTCGGACCTACAATGCCTATTTTCTGCTCTGGTGTGTAAACAAAGACCTTTGTTGATCTCCATAACTCCAGATGTTTCCCCCTGAGAGCCTTCTGTATCACTTATCTCTTCAGCCAACTCTTTATCTAATGTTGCTTTTTCTGGCTCCTCTGATTGACCTTGAAGCCTTGCAGTTTCTGAATCAGATTTCTCACAGAGAAAAGCAAAATTCCCTGACTTGAAACTTCTTCACTCCAAGCCCCAGGAAATCCCACAGGGAATTCCACAATCCTCTCTAAATAATCAGTGAACCCATCAATCTCAAGAGTTTCGGGCTAATATCCAACACAGAACATATGTCACATACCAGTCTTAATCTGCTTGCCCAGAAGAAATCATGATAACCATATCTAAGAAATTAGAATCCAAAATCTGTGCATTACTCTGGATATTCTGTAAGGAGCCAGTATAGAAAAGACATTCATATATTACAAACATTATGAAATTTCGAAATTGGATTTTTGAGGCTACAAATTGCTTAATGCTTTGGTGCCACATAGTGGCAGGTACCTGAATTACATGAAACAAATAATCAAAACTACAGTCAGTGATCACATAACATCCATCAGGATTTAGTTTCCAAGATCCTTGTATTGTTGTTGTTTATTTGTTCAGTCGCTTTTGACTCTTCATGACCTCATGGCCGTCACCACCCCCAGCTGCTTTAGAGTCAAGTCAGTCACTTCAAGGATTCCATCCATTCATCTTGTCCTTGATCGGCCCTCATCATTTTTCCTTCCATTTCCCCCAGTATCACTGTCTTCTCTAAGCTTTCCTGTCTTCTCATGATGTGGCCAAAGTACTTCATCTTTGCCTCTAATATTCTTCCCTCCAATGAGCAGTTGGGCTTTATTTCCTGGAGGATGGACTGGTTGGATCTTCTCGCAGTCCAAGGCACTCTCAGAATTTTTCTTCAGCACCACAGTTCAAAAGCGTCTATCTTCCTTCACTCAGCCTTCCTTATGATCCAGCTCTCACATCCGTAGGTGACTACAGGGAATACCATGGCTTTGACTATGCGGATCTTGGTTGCCAGTGTGATGTCTCTACTCTTCAGTATTTTATCGAGATTGGTCATTGCTCTCCTCCCAAGAAGTAAATGTCTTCTGATTTCCTGACTGCAGTCTGCGTCTGCAGTAATCTTGGCACCTAGAAATACAAAGTCTGTCATTGCCTCCATGTTTTCTCCCTCTTTTTGCCAGTTATCAATCAGTCTTGTTGCCATAATCTTGATTTTTTTGATGTTTAACTGCAACCCAGCTTTTGCACTTTCTTCTTTCACCTTGGTTAGATCCCTGAATATACCAAAATCCGTGAATGCACAAGTCTCATTACATACAATCAGATAGTGAAATATAATTTCAAAATCAAGTTTTGCTTTTTGGAATATCTATATCTATATCCATATATACATACATACCCCACTCTATTTTAGCTTCAAAGGGGACTCAGGGAGGCTTCCAAATGGGCAATAATTCAATGCCACATTAAAATAAGACAAACAAAATACAATATAAATTGTGCGTTAAATCATGAAAATCATAAAACACTAACATATCTATATAAATAAAAGTGTAATGTTCATTTGTGGGATTAACATAACTCAAAAACCACTGGGCAAATTGCTGTCAAATTTGGCCACAAGACACCTACTAATCCAAGGAGCAACCATCACTAAAAAAAATAAAAATGATTTTGTCATTTGGAAGTTGTAGTTGCTGGGATTTTTAGTTCACCTACAATCAAAGAGCATTCTGAACTCCACCAATGATGGAATTGAACCAAACGTGGCACATAGGACTCCCATGACCAATGTAAAACTCTAGAAGGGTTTGGTGGGCATTGACCTTGAGTTTGGGAGTTGTAGTTCACCTACATCCAGAGAGCACTGTGGACTCAAACAATGATGGATCTGGACCAAACTTGGCACGAATACTTCATATGCCCAAATATGAACACAGATGGAGTTTGGGGAAAATAGACCTTGACATTTGGGAGTTGTAGTTACTGGGATTTATAGTTCACCTACAATCAAAGAGCATTCTGAACCACAAACGACAAAATTGGGCCAAACTTCCCACACAGGACCCCCATGACCAACAGAAAATACTTAAGGCCATCCAGTCCAACTCCCTTCACCAGGGCAAGAAAACATAATCAAAGCCCTCCTAACAAAGAGCCATCCAGCCATAGATATAGAAAGGTATATATGATTCACACACACACAGATGTAGTATCATAAATTTGAAAGGGACCCCTAAAGAAGGACAATTATATGTTGCATGATCCTGAGTAGGCAAGCCAGGCAATCTCCACATCAACACCAACAAAGAAACAACAAGAAAAACCCACCAAGAAAATCCAACAAATGCTGCGTTCAGCAAAGGACAAGAGGGATCCTCTCACCTCTGCAGGAGTCTACCGTATACCATGCAGCTGTGGACAAGTCTACATAGGGACCACCAAACGCAGCATTGCCCAAACAGAATCAAGGAAAATGAAAGGCACTGCAGCTACTTCAACCAGAGAAGTCTGCCATAGCAGAGCACCTGATGAACCAACCTGGACACAGCATATTATTTGAGAACACAGAAAAGCTGGACCACTCTCACAACCACCATGTCAGACTACACAGAGAAGCCATTGAAATCCACATGCATGTGGACAATTTCAACAGAAAGGAAGAAACCATGAAAATGAACAAAATCTGGCTACCAGTATTAAAAAAATCTAAAATTGCAACAGCAAAACAGCAGGGAGGAAAACAGGCAGGGACATCTAATCACCTTTCAAGAAGAGTTTGCTCCAGGCACAGTCAGCCCATTGTATGCTAATCAAGGTGGTCAGTTGAAAGATTCACACCTAGCCCAACTTACAAAAGCCCTTTGTCTCACCCTGGTCATTCCACAGATATATAAACCCCTTTTTCCCAGTTCCAGCAGACCTCACCTCTGAGGATGCTTGCCATAGATGCAGGCGAAACGTCAGGAGAAATGCCTCTAGAACATGGCCATATAGCCCGAAAAAACCCACAAGAACTGCGTATTTACCCACAAGCATAAAGACATTACATATATTAGAAACCAGCACTTTCTAATTTATTTTCCAGATCACCAGATGTGTGGCAGAGGACCGCTAGTAAATACATAAATAAGCTGTTAAAAGATTACACATAGACTAAAAATAATAATCTAGAAGCCGTTCCAATTACATAGCTGTATAGAGCTCTGTGCTACTCTCCAAATGCTTGGGTCCATAGCTAACTTGTTTTCTAAAGGACATGAGGATATATGTGTGTGCATATATTTGAACTGTGATTGGCTGAATCCGTGTAATTGTACGACTCTTGAGCTTATATTGTCTCTGAGGCTGGATCCACACTGCCATATAATCCAGTTCTGAATCCAGATTGTCTGCTTTGAACTGGATTATATGAGTTTGTGGGATTTGTAGTTTTACAAGGTCTTTAGCCTCCTCTTTAAAGAGGGCTGTTGTTTCACCAAACTACAATTCCCAGGATCCCATAGCCCATGTCCATCTGCATTCATTCTGCAAGGGAGAGACACAACTGCAGGTCTTCCCTCCTCCTCCTGCCCACTTGCAAAATGGCCGCCTTGGCGACAGCAAGCCTGGCAGGGAAGCAGCATTTCCTTCCTTTCACAGCGAGGCTTCTCTCGGACTTCTACTCCCAGAATTCTCAGCCAGCTTGCCCAATGGCAGAGGCTTCTGGGAGTTGGAGTCTGGCAGGGAATCGCGTGGCGGGCCGGCTGGAGAGCAGTCCCTGAATCTCCTGCTTCTTCTGTCTCCCTTTTTTTGGCATTTGCCTGCAAGAGAGGAAGGAAAGGACCGGGTTGGACTCTCTTGCGGGGTAAGAATTTGGGAGGGATTGGTGTGGTGAGTCCCCTTAAAGAGTTACTATCCAAAGGCAGGTTTTTGCAAGGATTGTATGGCAAACTGAGGATGCATCTCTACACTTTGCTTAATTATATGGAACCTGGGATTTGTAGTTTGTTGTGGCACCAGCATTATTTGGCTGAGAAGGCTAAGGAAGGGCTACAACTCCCATGAACCCAACCTATAGCATTAAGATGTGATAGTTAAAGTGGTGTCAAACCACATTTATTCTATAATGTAGATGCACCCCTACTTATAGGTTGAGTATCCCTTCTCTGAAATGCTCATAAATGTTTTAGATTCTCCCCCCTACTTTTGAATAGTTGCATATAATAATACTTTATGAATGCTTAGATTATGCTCGCATACAAAATAAAAGAATATAGTGTGATGAAATGGATACAATGTCATCTCTGATTGGTTTTGAGGATGCTCTTATATAACTTATTTTACCAATCTAAATTTTAGTATTGTTGTTTATATCATGTTGCATTGTATTTTATTATTATGATTTATTTACGATATTTATATGCCGCCCCTCTCACCCCGAAGGGGACTCAGAGGCTTACAAGTAAAAAGTAAATTCAATATATTTTATTATTATCATAGCACAATATTAATATTATATATTACACTAGCCGTCCCCTTCCACGCGTTGCTGTGGCCCAGTCTGGTGATGTGGAAAATAAAGTAATGAGAAAGTTTTAATTTCTAATATTTGTAATTTCTTTATGCTTGTGGATAAACAGTATTTTTTGCTATTTCTTTGTCAGTGTTGATGTGTTTGCCTACTCTGGAACATGCAACATATGATTGTCCTTCTTTAGGGGTCCCTTTCAAATATATGATACTATATCTGCGTGTGTGTGAATCATATATAACTATCTATATATATGGCTGGATGGCTCTTTGTCAGGAGGGCTTTGATTACGTTTTCTTGCCCTGGTGAAGGAAGTTGGCCTGGATGGCCTTAAGTATTTTCTGTTGCTCATTTCATGGGGGTTCTGTGTGGGAAGTTTGCCCCAATTCTGTCATTGGTGGGGTTCAGAATGCTCTTTGATTGTAGGTGAACTATAAATCCCAGTAACTACAACTCCCAAATGTCAGGATCTATTTCCCCTAAACTCCATCTGAATTCACATTTGGGCATATAGAATATTCATGCCAAGTTTGGTCCAGATCCATCATTGTTTGAGTCCACAGTGCTCTCTAGATGTAGGTGAACTACAACTCACAAACTCAAGGTCAATGCCAATCAAACCCCTCTGGTGTTTTCTGTTGGTCATGTGCTAAGTTTGGCCCAATTTCATCATTGGTGGAGTTCAGAATGCTCTTTGATTGTAAGTGAACTATAAATCCCAGTAACTACAACTCTCAAATGACAAGGTTCATTTTTTTGAGTGAAGGACATACATTGGGTTGTTAGGTGTCTTGTGTCCAAATTTGGTGTCAATTCCCTCAGGGGTTTTTGAGTTCTGTGAATACCACAAACGAACATTACATTTTTATTTATATAGATTGTACTGTAACATTATACTGCAATATTATTAGTAATATTATATTTAATATAAAATAAATATTTCTAACATCATTTTATTATTAGTAGTAGTATATTGTATTACATTATAATATTATCAATATTATATGTATACACAATATATTATATTATAAGCACAGTGCAGGAGACTTTTATTTATATTATATTATAAACAGTGCAGGAGACTTTTATTGAATTCTTATTAACATGTTTATTATTATTAATATTAATATTATATATTACATGCAAGATCTATATGCCAATTATTTATATAATACTGTTGTCTCATATCGTTTTTGCCTCATCACACTAGAGAATGAATCCACTTTAAATCTGGTTTCTATCCTCCTGCTTATGCTGGGGAAAGTGGAAGGCAAAAGGAAGAGGGGCCGACCAAGGGCAAGATGGATGGATGGCATCCTTGAAGTGACTGGACTGACTTTGAGGGAGCTGGGGGTGGTGACGGCCGACAGGGAGCTCTGGCGTGGGCTGGTCCATGAGGTCACGAAGAGTCGGAGACGACTGAACGAATGAACAACAACAACATCCTCCTGCAGAACTCTGAGGTTTGTAGTTTAGTGAGGCTGTTAAAGGCTCCTCCCTAAACTACAAACCCCAGAATTCTGCAGGAGGAAGAAACCGGATTTTAAGTGGATTTTTTCTCTGGTGTGATGAGGCAAAAGCGATATGACTCTAACTACACAGATATCTATAAATACAATGTTAATACACAAACGTCCTATTACTATAAGCTTCAGCACAAATACCAATTGGAGTATTGAGAAAAGTACCAAACTAACTCATATAATACACAAACGTGAGAAACAAGCACATAGGGACAATTTACAACAGTGTAACAAACATATTATTCATGTTTTTCAAAATACTTTGTCAATTCTTCCATAGGTTATGTAGACAAACTTCAACATGTCCAATATTGTCCCATGTTAATTCAAGATATGATAAACAGTCTTGCAAATTCCATTTGCTAAACAAATGGCTCTGCTGTGATATTTTAATACAGGGTAGAATACTACTGACTTCCATTCACAAAGATATTATTGCAAACGAATGAATGAAGGAACCTTGAAAGAAACCTAAAGAAGAGATACTCCTCTTGAAACAAGGACATAAAAACACCCGGGAACCTTGTTGTATTCCCAAGACTGTTTATCATATCTTGAATTAACGTGGGACAATATTGGACCAGTTGTTTCTGGGGAGAGAGGTCAGTCTATAAATAAAGTATTTATTATTATTATTAACCTAACACCTGGCTTCCTGTCATATTATATTAGCTTGTATCTTGTTATGAGCTGGGGCCCCAAATTATTTATTTCCTTTGTGAACAAAGCATAGTATACTATAAACCCAACTTATTAATGCCCTAAAAGATCTCTCCAGCTACTACAAAGATAAACACCTGAATCCTAAACCTGCCAAGACACAAATGTGTGCTTTCCACCTACCTAACCGTGAAGTCAACAGGAAATTGAAAGTTACTGAGAAGACCAAGAGCTTGAACACTGTTCCCACTCTAAATATCTCAGTGTCACCTTAGATCGAACACGAACATTTAGGAAACACTGTGCATGGAATAACATCCTGACGAAACTTACTAATAGTGCTTGGGCTGCAAACCCAAAATTAATAAGAACGTCATCCCTGACCATAATAATCACAGGATGTCTCAAACCTACACCTGAGCATTGTGGAAACCATCCACTGTATGGCTATCAGTCTCCTTCTAGTAGACTTAAATCAAGGCAAAGCTTCAAGAACCACCACTTTTCTTAATGTTCCTTCAGCAACAGCAATAGTATCCCTTWGGGCAGCCCACCAGGAAATCCCAACTGGATGGCCCCCACAAGGGTCTTCCTGCAAAGCCTAACAAAGAATGGGCAACTTGGAAGTCCCTGAACAGACTCAGAAGTGGAGTGGGCAGATCAAAAGACAATCTGGCAAAATGGCACTACCTAGAAGATCCTCCACTTTGTGCGACTATGGAGCAGAACAAACAACTCACTATCTGTGTGCTTGCCCACAATGCCCTGCCTCATGCACAGAGGAAGAATTGTTTAAAGCTTCAGACAATGCAGTCACTGTTGCCCGTTTTTGGTCTAAAATTATTTAGCTGCTTGTGATCTCTTTATTTTATCAGTTTCAGATAAACTTTTTTATGCAACGCTTTTGACATGAAATAAGCTTGGTTAGTACTTGCATGGGGGAACTCCAACAAATATTAGATGGTATAGGCTAATCATATCTGTGTATGGTACATTCTTGGACTTAACATGGAAGTGTGAAACCACAGAAAATATTTATTTATTATTATTTATTTAGCAATTTTGTATACTGGTCTTCTCCCCTCTATCGGGGGACTCGGGCCGGTTTCCAACAATAAAATCACAAAACAATCATTAAAAACATCATATAACATATTCAATTAAAACGTTATAACAGCAAAATGCAATCACATAATAACAATGGTCAGTCGTCATAGTGAATTCGTTGTCCATCATTCATCGTCATCTATCCGATCACAGAAATATTGATTCACTCGTCGAAAGCCAAACCCCATAGCCAGGTTTTCACCCGTTTTCTGAACGATAGAATGGAGGGGGCAGTTCTGATCTCTAGTGGGAGAGAGTTCCAGAGTCGAGGGGCCACCACCGAGAAGGCCCTGTCCCTCGTCCCCACCAGACGCGCCTGAGAGGCTGGTGGGACCGAGAGCAGGGCCCCTCCAGACGATCTTAACAACCTAGATGGTTCATAGGGGAGAATACGTTCGGACAGGTAAATCTTATTGAAATAAGATGTTTTCTGAAAGAAGCATACCATAGAATTGTGCTGGAGAACATTCAAATGCTTGGAGAGACTATATTTTTTCAGATTCGGGTAAATGAAACTGTGGATACTAGCTCCACAAACACAGGGGTCATAATGTATTTCAGAAGAAGGAACTGAGGAAACTCCCTCTAAATATTTCTTAAGAAAATCCTTATGAGATTGCCATAAGTTGACCACTGGGGTCCCTTTCCACACTGCTGAATAAAATCCCACTCACAGCAACCCAGTGATTCCGGCCAGGAAAGCCTTCGACAACACAGCGGCAACTTTATTGGCCAACCAAATGAACCAAACATATTGTGTAAGCTTCTGAGGCCCCTTCCACACAACTGAGTAAAACCCCACATTATCTGCTTTGAATCTAGCTACCTATCTGACCGCATCTCTGCCTATGAACCCACCAGGACTTTGAGATCTTCCGGGGAGACCCTGCTCTCAATCCCGCCTGCTTCTCAAGCTCGGCTGGCGGGGACGAGAGATAGGGCCTTCTCGGTGGTGGCTCCTCGGCTGTGGAACGCCCTTCCTACGGACATTAGACTAGCACCATCTCTAATGGTATTCCGCAAAAAGGTGAAGACCTGGCTGTTTGAGCAGGCGTTCGAATAATTAGTGCAATGATTGGTTAATGAACACTGGAATGGAACAATGGATGACGAATCTGGAACATGTTTTTGATGACGAGACGACAGTGAATGGGTATTGTAGTAACTGTTTATTAATTGTGTAATGTGTTAGGTTGTTAACTGTTTCTATACTGTAGCACTGAATTTTTGCTGTTCGTATTTGTTGTGAACCGCTGTGAGTCGCCTTCGGGCTGAGAACAGCGGTATATAAGTAAGGTAAATAAATAAATAAATAAATTTGTTGCCTTGATATTCTGGGTTATATGGCTGTGTGGAAGGGTCCTGATTTATGTGTCTGCAAACACACACACCCACAATCCTTTTCTGGAAAGTCTGTAAAGTCAGGTCTTATTGCCAAGCCACATTACTGGAGTGTCAAAAGTTTGTGATCAAGTTTATGTGCTTCAGTGATTTTTTTTTTCAAAAACAGAATAATCTTTTCTAAACTTCCTGTGTAGGAATGTAAGAGTGAACTGGAACAAATGTTTTGTTAAACAGTGTTGAACTGAAACGGAAAATATCTTTACTTTCAAATTGTGCATTTATAATAGCGTTGGTGCTAAGTATCATTGTATATTTTTTTTTCAGTAGGTAGTTCTTTAATCTGTTAAAATGGTTTCTAAAAAGAAGAAAGAGATGCAGGTTGATGCCTTTGTTCTTGATCACCAGAAGCTTGAAAGACTTAGCTGTAAGTATAATTAAGTTGTTTAATTTGTCTCTGTAGACATATTTCAGTGGCGCCATAATGACTTTTTAAATGCATTCCCCTTGATGCTATCTTTTAAGTTAAAAGAAAAATCCGTTCTTTTTATGCACAGTGGTTTATGAGCTCTTCACATCCCATTTTGAAAGAAAAGTTTATGCATTGATGATTAAATTGAAAGGAAAGCATTTCAGAACACTTGATTTTGTACAACTTTTCCTAAAGAATTACCGAGGGTGCCTTTCAGACATTTCCCTACCTACCTGGCATGATATAGGGGGTGCTCTATAGACTCATGTATAATTCATGAAAGGTAAAGGTAAAGATTTCCCCTTGACATTAAGTCTAGTTGTGTCTGACTCTGGGAGGTGGTGTTCATCTCTGTTTCTAAGCCGAAGAGCCAGCTTTGGCCCTAGATGCCTCCAAGGTCATGTGGCCGGCATGACTCCCCAGAATAAGGAATCTCCCAGCAATATGTCCTTATATGCACTTTATTTGACCTTGAAGGAGCTGGGGGTGGTGACGGCCGACAGGGAGCTCTGGCGTGGGCTGGTCCATGAGGTCACGAAGAGTCGGAGACGACTGAACGAATGAACAACAACATGCACTTTGTTAATGATCTACGATTGTCTGCACGCCCCATCCCTCTCCGAAAACTCTATCCTAGTTATATTTCACCTGTTCATGCTCAGCATTATTTTAAAATTTTTAATTATTACATTTAGCCTAGCCATAGGTTTTTTTAATGTCGGTTATTGCTGTTAATGTCTATTGCTTATTTTTTGTTATGAGTTTATATTATTGCTTGTATTATTGTTGTTATTGTTTGTATTATTGATGTATTGTGGGCTCGGCCTCATGTAAGCCGCACCGAGTCCCTTGGGGAGATGGTAGCGGGGTATAAATAAAGTATTATTATTATTGTTATTTATGGAGCGCCATTACCTTCCTGCCGAAGTGGCACCCATTGATCCACTCACATTTGCATTTGCAAGCAAGAACATCCTCTTGTCACAGCAGTGGGAGAGCATCACCTATCCTATTAAAAAGTCATCAACTCTTTTGCTTTATGAGTCAAACCAGAAACAAAACACATGAGAAATTGGGATTGATAAAAGTATACATGTAATTGGAAATAAAATCAAACCAAATAAATGCAAAATATTCTATTTGAATTGGATAGTTAATATCAAAATGCCTGGCCGTGATACATGGAAATATATGTACAAAAACAATGCAACTACTGTACTGTGAAACAAAAAAGGGGTAAGTTATTAAAATCCTCTATTTGTATTAATGCTTGTTTGACATATCTCTTATCAAGGACAAGCATTTTGATTAGTGCCCTTCATTTGCATTATAGTACATTTTTCACATATTTTACATATATTTCTTCCATATGCAATACCATCCACTGTTTTTATTCTTCTACTAGTTTTGTGTTTTCCTTAAGAGCGTTCACTGAAGCTGAATCTACTGTTATCTGCATAGTTTTTTCTGCCTGTGTAAATTGTGGCAGAATATAACAAAGTACATAAGAGGCATATTTTGTAATACAGGCAGTCCCCAAGTTACGAACAAGATAGTTTCTGCAGGTTTGTTCTTAAGCTGAATTTGTTGTAAGTCAGAACAGGTACATTTTTAAGTGTCACTCCAGCCATACACACACAAACAGAGGTTTGGATATCACAGGGAAGGGTTAACACCCTTGTGGTGTTTGTTTCACTGCCCGTGCCCCTGTTCAGAAGATTTCTCTTCACTTTCTGTCCTGTGATAATTATATTTTGAGAAATTTGGCTTGTTGTGGGAATAAGGAATTGTGCTAAAACTTCATCAGGAACACCTTTTCCCCGTGATAACTCTTTCAGGAGTGGATCTCCCTTCCGAGGGGTAGATTTTGCTCACTTCATGTTGTCTCACCCTTGTTCATAACTATGAGTCATTTGTAAGTTGGGTGTTTGTAACTCTGGGACCGCCTGTATACATATGTTGATGCAGCATTAAATACATTTTTTTTCTTTCGCTGTGTACAGCTTTTGCAGATGATGAAGGTCAAAACCTAGCTTCTGTTTTGTTGCGCTGCACGCAGTTGGATGATGGCATCCAGCAAATTCATTCTGTCAAACAGGTTTGCTTTTATTAATTGTAATAAAAAGTAGTAATTTTGAAATACAGTACATTTTTGCCAAAGCTTCATCTTCTAATTAAGGCTGATTTCATAAACCAGGAATAGTTGAAGCTGAAGTAATGACAATTAAACATGGTTCAAAATCTGCCCTAATATTAAGGTCATAATATAAAGATGAAGTTATTAAAAAGTATACGAATTGGAATTCTAGCCGAAATGGATATATTGTTAATATGATTTGTACTCAAAATTATAAATCTGTTTTAATATAGAACAAGAAATATATGTAATATTTTGATAGTCTTTGCTTGAGGGGGAGAAAAGTCAGTTGTGTTTTAAAGAGTGTGTTTTATTAAATGTATGTGTGTGTGTATGTGTGTGTAGTTTACTATTTTGTTCTGTTAATTTAGCTCAGTGGTTCCCAACCTGTGTTCTGTGGACCACCAGTGGTCCGCAAGGACTAAAATATGGTATTGTTCTGGAACAGCTGTTCCAGGAGCTCCAATTTTGTGCTTTGCACTGAGTGTTTGTTTATAGTTCTAAGTTTCAGGGACTCTGCAGATAGGTGGCTTCTTTTGGCTGCTTTCATAGGGTAAGCCACCTGTCAATTATCATTGGGTTCCCTGGTTCCACCCCCTTTCTAGGCTTTGGAGGGAAGGGAGCCTTTTCCAGTCAGTCACAGCAAGGTAGCCAATGTATAGGATGTGTTTACTTCCCTTGTGCAAAGGCTTCAACCTTTAAGAGCTCCAGGGAAAGAACGCCAGGGAAGCATTCCCACAGCTTTAAGGGTCTCCTAAGAACTCCAGGGATTCCTTCCTACAGCCTTGGGAGTTTCCAGGAAGATAGCCAACTCTAAAGAACATCCATTGCCTGTCTGGTAGGTCCTCTCAGTGTTTCAAGAAGCAGTTCGGCCTGGCAGAGGAGCCCACACCAGTGAGGGTTGGATTTTAGTTAGCCTTGGGAGAAGTTAAAAGGGGGAATTTTCCTTTGAAGAAAGTTATTGAAGATAGTGCCTGTTCCCTGCGGACAAGTTTGAGAGAACTGATACTTTACCAAGAAAGCTTTACAATTCCTGTTTGATTCATTAATAAAAGACTTTTTTGTACCTTTTAAGCCATTTGAAGATTCCTTTTGTAAAGGAAGCCTCTGAGAACTTTTCCTAGGGCCCCTGGCTTCCCGCTGGGTAAAGGTTACACATCCTATATCTAAGTCAACTAGCTATAGGCCCAACGGTGACAGAACAGGTATGGGGCCTCACTACACCGTTACTACGAGAGCAACTGGTCTCGCAAAACCCTCTTATAGTGCCGAGGCTTATTAAATATGATTTTCTGTGGACAGGCACATGGCGACTGCTGGATGGCATAAGTTCTGTAACAGAAACTAGAGCTGATGTGGTCTATCCAATGCAATTTTCCGATCCAGCACCCCAGATAACCAAACCAAATGTACAGTTGACCAAAAACTGATTTGTAACCCTTTTGGTACTAAAGTTGCAGAGTGGTCAAGTGGTCCCTGGTCAAAAAAGGATTGGGAACCACTAGTTTAGCTTATTATATTTTAATAAGTTTGACTGGTCGTGTTGGTGGGGATGGATTGTGAGATGGAATATTGTGGGGATTCTCTGTTGGTATTTTGTTTGTTTGGTTCTTGCTTTTAAAATAATGTTTAAGAAATATCTACTCTGTAGTAATCTTTGTATACTGTTGTGATTTCTGTTACTCAGTTCTAGTTTCTCCCTAGACTCTGATTATAATTCCCCCCCCCCCTCTACAGCTCATACTTTGCTTACTCTGTTCTCATGTTTGCATGGGTTTGCAATATTTATTTGTTTACCTGTATTTTTAAATTGCACAAAATACTAGATACAACTGAAAAGGTTGCACTTATTTAACTTTGCTATTCATCTATTGGCTTTCATACTGGATTTTTTTTCATAAGAATTTTTTGCATGAGAATTTAATGTTTGCATTCATATGCAAGTTTATTTTGAGTAATTTTCTTGGGAAGTACCAGCAGTAGCAAGTCAAACCGGAGCAGCAATTTTATTAATTTCAGCCTATAATCTAATAGAAAACTGATAGCTGCATAGCAGTTAAAAGTGGGTTACAAAAGAAAATATATCCAAATGCTTAGGAGAAATTTGGAAGCAGAAAAACAGATTAAATATAGTAAGGTGATAAAGCTCTGTAGCACAGTGAAGAAGAGATGCTCAGTGATAGTGAATATCTGGGGGTAAGAAGGCAGAACATTATAAGGGGAAAGAGAAATGGAATAAAATATTTAAAAGAAGTAGAAGGCATGACTGGCTGCATCACAAGAGCACTCCATACGGCAATATGACGCACCAGGTGTCTCTCTTGTTATTTTTTTTTCTGATGCCTACTAGCTAGATCGCGTACTTGTGATAGATATATTTTAAATTAAGTTTGTAAGCTTAAGAGGATATAATATATCACACAATTTATTAAGTGTGCAACTTCTTTTATTTATAGATTGTGCCTTTATTAGAGAAGATGGATGTGAATGGTTTATGCAACCCCATGGTTAAAAGCTGCTTAGATATTTTGGGATGTATATTCTTATCCTTGGATATAAAGAATCCTTTGAAGAAAGTGTTGGCAAGGTAATGTTTGTAGGACAATTTGTACTTCTAAAAAACTGGCTGTATTCACTGATCCCCCCCCCTCCAATTATTCCATTACCAAATATGTGTTCTCTTTTATAAGCAAGTATTCCAACTGTCCCTATTTTGGTTTAGCGACTTCTGGCATTAGAATGGATGCCTCTCTGATTTCATTTTCAATTTAATCCTGAGCATTTTGATCAGATGGGCAGTACTGGTAGCGTGTAAACATTGGATCAAATTGGATGTTCATTTATTTTGAAAGCTTTTATTATTTGCCTCTCAGATCATTTAATATTTCTCTTCAACTACAGCTCCTTAAATGGCTTCCCAGAACCACTTATTCAGGAAGCTACTCAGAGTTTTGTGGCTTGCCTAGAGGAGGAATTAAAAACTACAAATCTGTCCCAGTATAGAAAAACTATGGACAACCTTGCTTTCTGTATGGAAAATATTTACATAGGTATGATATGTTTTTTCACTTTTGGGAACTTTTGGCAATTTAAAAAATCTATATAAATAAAAATGTAATGTTCATTTGTGGAATTAACATAACTCAAAAACCACTAGACGAATTGATCCCAAATTTGGACACAATACACATATCAGGCCAATGAGTGACCATCACTCATAAAAACACCGAAAAACAGCAGTAGAGACTAAAAAAGCCAAAAAAACCAAAAATTACATTACAACGCATACGCAAACACACACACATATATATGCAAACACACACATACATAAATATATACACACATATTTATACACACAAAACACATATACACAGACTGGGCCACAGCAACGCATGGCAGTGGATGGCTAGTAATTTATATAGATATGATCTGTATATGCTTCTAAAATGTATTCTTTATATTTCAGGCAAATCATGTGTCAATGTCCTGTTAGAAGAAGGTAAATTCTTGGTATTTCTACACTAAAATGTTTTAATAGTAAAATTAAAACATTTTAATCACGTGAAGATTACGACTCATGTGTTTTTCTCTTTTAGTGGGTTTACTGATGATAGATTCTCTATTGGTTTTGAAAGAAGTTGTTTAAAAAGCATGCTGATCTCCTTGAAAGAAGGGATTTGAATGCAATGCTGGTCCCCCTGTTTTTTTTCAAAATCAGAGCTCAAAAAAAAAAAAAAAGGAGGGGTATGCATCTTGCAATCTATAGTATCCTAGATTCACCAGCATGCAGTGTGTGTGTGTGTGTGTGTGTGTGTGTGTGTGTGTGTGTGTATAAACAGATTAATAAATTAGATCTAAAAAACAAAGGAGTTTAAAAAACTGTTCTGGTAGACACTCACCTATTTCAGAAGTGGGCTGGGCACATGGAACAAAGTATCAAATGAACAATTGTGTAAATTTGTAAGATAACTTTTTTATTCGATTAGTTTCTTATATCAAATAATGTTTTCTGTATTTTTCCAACTGTAATTTCACAGCTCTTCGATTTCTACAGAGGTCTATACATGAAATAGAGGAAGAAAGCAGGTGAGTTCTACTGCTGAGTATAAAATGGAATGTGCAAAATGCCATGTGGGAGCATGAAAATGGTATGTTATTTATTTAAATAATTATACTTAAGAAAGAAAACCGCATGTATAAAATGAAGACTCAAGAAGAATTAAATCAACAGTATAAGAATATATCCTGGTTTCAATACAGACTACTGAGAGAGTATTATAACAAAGATAAAATTGTAGGTTTTTTAAATAAAGAATCCATAGGGGAGAGACTAATATCAACTCAAAAGAAGATAATTATCAAAATATATAAGAAACTTTTTTATTAGGAATAATTAATATAGACTGGGACATAAACAAAGATAAACTATTTAATTATATGACAACGGATGTCTCAAGGTAAGGCCGCAGCTAGCCCACAAGTTTTAACTGTGCGAAGGTGCTCCTGGCCACCACTGACACCTGAGATTCCAGGGTCAGCGATGAGTCCAGGATCAACCTAGACTTCATACAGTCCGGAAAACTCATAGCAACTAGTGATTCTGATAAAAAAGTCTTCGACAACACAAAGAGGCCTCTAAGGAGAAAAGGAGAATAGGACCAAGTTCTGCAGTGTAACCATGGAGTGTCTCATCCAATGTTAAAATATAGGTTTATAAGATATATGTGTGTGTGTGTATATATATATATACACACACACACACTATATATATATATATATATATATATATATATATATAACTATATACTATATACTATATACTATATACTATATACTATATACTATAAGAGTCTAACACAGCAATTTGATTTTTTAAAAAGAAAGCTCAGAGGAAACCGCATTGCTCAGACTTGCTTGATGCATGATTTGCTGATGGGTGTTAAAGTTTCAATGATGTTGATACAAAAAATTGAAGAAAATGTTCAGGAAAATACTTGGAAGAGATTGGATTGTCCTGCGTGGCAAAGTATGTGTGGACTACTGGCCACTTTTATATGCTTCTTAAATAAAGGTAAGTATTGCCCTTGTTCATTTAACCTGACCATTAACCCCCCCCCCCCCAAAAAAAAAAACCCAAAACAAAACCAAAGCATTCAACTCTACTGGATTTGGAAAGGGGTTGTCTTGCTTTGCTATAAAACTAATGTATGAAGTAATACAGTTCAAATATAGGATATAAGTCTTCATATGGAGAACATATCACAGTTGTAAATTATCCTGTCTGGAATCTATAAATCATATGATTTCACTTATGGGAGTGGTGGTCATGATGGTTTTTGTCCAATTTTTTTGCATTCCACTTGTTATTCCTCATGAATAGTGGACTGCAAGGATGAATAGAGGACCCCTGGAACAGTAGGTGAGCTGATGTTGGAGGTTGCAAGGGCAGATGAAACTGGTGTAAAATCTCTCCTATTCCTGTAAATGGCAGAGTGTGTGTTTCTCTTCTCCAAATGAAAGGAATTATTCTGTTTGTGGAAAGGCTACTCTGAATTTGTGCAGGTGTCCCTTTAAGAACCGTCGTATTTGTTTCTGATAGAAAATATTTCTATAGTTTAAGTACCATCTTGTGGAAATATGAGTCTATCTTCAGCAATAACCTACAGTATTTTTTATGTTCATAACACAGACACATTTAATATGTTAAACGAATTGGATGAATTCCTTATAGGTCAGAAATATTCACTTAGGCTTTCCAGTTTTTCTGATCCTTGAATTTTGTCTAGGAATACTCTGTTTGTCCCCCCACCTCCTTTTTGTTACTGCACTCGTGGGAATTGGTGTAATGGATGGAGCAACAATAAGATTGCAATTAATTTAATGTGATTGCATATGTTGATAGGTGACTTAGAATCATGGAGTTGGGAGAGACCACAAGGGCCATGTAGCCCAACCCCATCCTACCACGCAGGAACAATCAAAGAATTTCCCATTTGAAGGCACATACATACACATGTTAGGAATGACTTCTAGAAAAACAAGGATGCCACCTAAAAAAAAATTCCATTTCTAACATTACTGTGTATTCTCATTTTATAGAAGACCTCTTACAAACAGTCCAGACTACAGCAGGATTGGCTGTTGTCCTTTTTCTTAAAAATATGTTTGAACCAGCAGAACAACTACCATGTTTGGTGAGTATTTCCTTTTCAGTAGAAAAAAAATTAAAATCAGTTCAAACATATGATCAGCATACATTAATTTGATTGTTGCATGGAGAAAACTATCTAATATATAACCATAATTTCAGTGTTGTTAGTTCCAGCAACAACAATTTCAAGACTAAGTCCTGCAAGTTTCAGTGGGACCCCCTCCTGGATAAGTGAAGATAGGGCTGCAACCTTAGGATTTTATGACCACAGTTAATAATTTTTCCACATTCTGAAGCATTTTAGGTCTGCGTCCAATTGTTAATCCCTTTTGGAAAATGTGAATCTCCATAACCATTTGGGAAATGGAATTCATAACCTTTTGGAAAACCACTGGTTGTCACACACACACATATTCCGCAGAGTTTAAGAAGTGTTCCTTTTAGAGCCCTTCTACACAGCCATATAACCCAGAATATCAAGGCAGAAAATCCCACAACATCTGCTTTGAACTGGGTTATCTGAGTCCACACTGCCATATATTCCAGTTCAAAGCAGATAATGTGGGATTTTATTCAGCTGTGTGGAAGGGGCCCTAGTTGTCCAAAAACACCTACTCTTCCTTAAAATGTATTCGCCTTTAAATCATGCTCTCAAGAGACAAAAATAATCAATCTTCTGTAAAAGTAACATAGTTGATTTACTCATTAAATTGCTTTTTGCAGATCAGTAACTTGCTGTGTGGCGAACTGAAATGTTCAGATGTACCAACCTGGTTCGTGGACAGCTGTGGAAATCTGTGTAATGCTGCACTTTCTGACCCAGTCCTCCTTTTCCTTTCACACGGAGCACTGGCTATGTTAGAGTGGAAAAACAGCAACAAAGGGGAGAACGTTGAGAAACTGCTCTTGGATATTGCTCAGACTTTGTTGACCTTGAGTACACGGTAAAACTATTTTTTACCCCCACGATTATTTTATTTATTCAGATTGAACTCGGTTCATTCATTTCTAGAGTTCAGGTTGTAGTTTGAATACATACTCAAATATAAATTGGGTTTAACAAAACATAAAAAAGGCTTTTATCTTATTAAGAATTAAATATATTTTAAAAGGTAATTCAAGAATCCTGAAATGATTTGGAAAGATGGCTGGGCTTTGGCAGGTGATCATTTCTGAGAAAAGAGTTATGTTGCTTTGAAACAGTTAGCCAATCCCCGTTTAAGTTAATAGGAATTATTGCTGTGTAGAAACATGGGGTTGTATTACGTGTGCTTTGGGTCATTCCATGCCAAGTGGTCGAAAATTTAAAAAAGTTCCCACTATCATGTTCTCCAATTTTGTTCAAATGTAACTGTTGCACCAGTTAGGTATTAAACTAGGTTTCCCTAAATTTGAGATCTCTGACTGCAATAGTTGCTGATCTAGACCCCCTTAACTGAAAGGTAGTCAGTCAGTTAGCGCGTGACATTTAAGGAAATGCCATTTTTGGGTTCTAATAAAATTGACACTAAATGTATAAGAATGGCTAGTAAACTGAAATTCTGTAGAGTTTTTTCTGCTGATTCTGATGAAATTAATTTTAACATTATGGATGCAAAATCCAGTCAAACAAGTTGACTCAAAGTGTGTATGAAAATGTGTCACGACAAATTTTGACCAATATTCAGACTGCAACAATTTCCATGCAAACAAAGATACAAACTTGAAATTTTGACCAAGCATTATGCTTGTGCTGAACATAATACTGCCAAATTTGCATCTACAATCATCCTGCAGGATTTCTTCAAATTTGTCACTTTTGGTGCAAATTGTAAAATCCACCAAAGTTCAAAGCCAATTATTTAAAAAAGAGTCTATGTAAATATGCTTGTGAATAGTATCATCTGAAAGAAAAAAATTGCTCTACAAGACTGATATGCTTTTGTTTTGCAATGCAACAATTAAGTATCCATTTACTGAGGTCAAAGGATGTTATATTTTGTGCATTTATGCTTTATGCTTTATGCATCCTCACGGCCCTGCTAGTTACTGCATGGTTATCAGGCATGGCCCCTATGGTGATGGGGATGCTGGTTTCAATGTGATATATAACATACTTTAGATCAGCAACTATTGCAGTTAGAGACCTCAAATTTTGGGAAACTTAGTTTAACACATGACTGGTGCTACAGTTAAAATATCAACAAAAATCAGAGAACCTGATGGTTGGAAGGCATGGAATGACTCAATTTCTAATTTGAGTAACCAAGTTCTGTGGCCTATATATGAGAATATTGTTCTTTATTCTCACTCTTTATTATTGTATTATTGATATTGACCAGATTATGGTTTCAGGACTAATAGCATTCTAACTACATGTTAGTGAGAAGTAAAGTAGTTGCCTGCTTTGGGGTTCTTGGTACTGCCCTTTGTCTTAACTGCTATGCTAATAATGTAATGTAATATATTGTATATACATATAATATTTATAATTATATTATATTGTATAGTAGTATAATATAATACTACTAATATTATGATATTATAATTATATATTTATAATACATGTAGTATTACTAATAATATTACAATATAATGGTACAATATAATAATATTTAATACTGATATTGTACTATGCTAATACTATAATATATATTGTGTGTGTGTATATATATATATATATCTTGTAAGCCGCTCTGAGTCCCCTTTGGGGTGAGAAGGGCGGCATATAAATGTTGTAAATAAAGAAAAAAATAATTGCAAAGCAGCTTGAATATGATGTAACTCTGCTTTACAGGTGGTGGATGGTGGGATAAAATGGAGAAGAGGGGGCATTTCTCACCAATTTTCTGGTCTTGTACCATTTATTTTTACAGTTGAAACAACTACAATTAAATACTCTATTTCAGTATTTACATGTGCACGTAATACACTTTCCAATAGCTAGGATAGATAGTGGTTTTTCTAGGATTGTGATGCTTGGCAAATGAATAAGGATACAAACTGTGCTAGTTCTAACATTTCTACATTATACTGTTATTTTATCTTTGAAGGCTAAAAGAATCTGCGATGGCTGCATCCCTCTCTAGAGTTGTAACTATTTGGACGAATGCGGCTTTGGATGCTCTTCAGTCAAGCTCTACAAACCTGAAGATGAGTCTCAGTGGAAACACAGACACAATTGGAAAAATGTTGGATTATGTGTATGCGCATTGGGAACATCCTCTGGACGCTGTGAGGCATCAAACCAAACTTATATTTAAGAATATCTTACAAATACATCAGGCAACTGTCAAAGGATCTGTTGATGTGAAAGTTGATCCTTTCTTCTTGGGTTTAATTGATAGCTTGCTAAGTTTGGAATGGCACGTTAAAGGTAAATACTCATGTCTCGGCTGTCTTGTGGAGTGTATTGGAATTGAGTATATTTTGGCAATGGATAAGACAATTCCTGCTCAGATCTTGAGTGTCATGAGTGATCAATCTTTCGCACCTTATGCAAGTGATCTGTTGGAAATCATGTTTGTGAATCACAAGAAGCATCTTACGTCCATTTTGGAAGGAAACACCTGGATTGACATTTGGCATGAGACATGGGTGTCTCCCCTGCTTTTAATTTTGTGTGATGGAAACACAGAGCAAGCCATGTATGTTACAGACTATTATCTACCAAAATTGCTGAAATGTAGCCCTGAAAGCATGAACTACATGTTCAAAATCCTTTGGACATCAGCAGAATGTAATGTTGGTAAGACCAGACTTTATATCTTGTACGTAAGGTGTCTGAATGTGTGATAATGATGATGCAGTCTACCTTATTCTGACATAGCTTTGTTAGCAAAGTAGAGTATATAAAAGTGACAAGAGTGTTCTTTTATGACAGCAAATATAGCTGAAATTTTCCTTCTTTCATAAAAACAAAGTAAATGCCATATTGTTACGTGTTATGTATTTTGGGTTGCTGTGAGTTTTCTGGGCTATATGGCCATGTTCCAGAAGCATTCTCTTCTGACGTTTTGCCCACATCTATGGCAGGCATCCTCAGAGGCTGTGGGGTCTGTTGGAAACTAGGCAAACGGGGTTTGTCTGTCTGTCTGTCTGTCTGTCTATCTATCTATCTATCTATCTATCCATCTATCATCTACCTATCTATCTATCTATGTATCTATCTATCTATCTGTGGAATGTCCAGAGTGGGAGAAAGAACTCTTGTCTGTTAGAGGCAAGTGTGAATGTTGCAACTGGCCACCTTGATTAACATTGAATGGCCTTGCAGCTTCAAAGCCTGGCTGCTTCCTTCCTGGGGAGAATCCTTTGTTGGGAAGTATTAACTGGTCTTGATTGTTTCTTGACTGGAATTCCCCAGTTTTCTCAGTGTTGTTCTTTTTTTGCTATCTTGATTTTAGAGTTTTTTAAAACTGGTAGCCAGATTTTGTTCATTTTCTCAGTTTCCTCCTTTCTGCTGAAATTGTCCACATGCTTGTGGATTTCAGTGTCTTCTCTGCATAGTCTTAAAGGTGCTAGAAGACCCTTTTGCATATTGATCCAAACTAACATGGCCAAGTCTTTGGATTCTACCATTCTAATAATAATAATAATAATAATAATAATAATAATAACTTTATTTATACTCCGCTACCAAGGGACTCGGTGCTGCTTACATGAGGCCAAGCCCACAATAAATCAATAAAAAAAGTTGTCATATTATTGTGTGAAAAACAGTGTTTCTTGATTTCAGAAAACAACACACATAAAGGAGATGATGATGGTGCTTATTTATACCCCACTTTTTATCTGCACAAGGGAAAATATTTTTGTGGCTGTATTTAGGAAGGAGGCTCACGAGTATCCTCCATTATTGCCAATGAGCATATATACATATTTGTTTTATTTAGGATCCTGCAGTACCAGAGGGGCACTTGGAGCCTTGATGGCTTGCCTGAGGACAGCCAGAGCTCACGGGCACTTACAGTTTACAGATGTAATGCATGGTGGCCTAGTGTCCATTGGATGTATAAAACAAGGCTTAGTCCATCAACACGATCAGGTACAGGTCTGCATTTTGGAGGGTGGGGGTGTATGTGATGTTCTTACTTTTAAAATGATAAACTGCTGTGTAAAAGCAGTCTTCATTTCCAGCTCTTGATTATTTTGTTTCTAAAGGTACGGATAGATGCTTTAGGTTTGCTCTGTGAGAGTAATCGCAGCACGGAAACGATCTCCCTTGAAGAAATGCAACTCATCCAGTTTTTCATTAGATACAACTTGAACAGCCAGTCTCCAGCAGTGAGGCAGCAGATTTGTTCCCTACTAAAAAAGGTAAACTTGAATTGTGAATAGGAGAAGGAACATGTCAAACGCCTTTGCTAAGACTTACTAAAATTCTCTGCAGGCCAAATTTAATGATGCGCTTTACCTTTCTTCTCAAAACATGACATAAGCTGTGACGTTATCTACAGTGTTTGTAATTTGGTGGTGTTTTCTTTTTCTCTTTTAAAAGTTGTTCTGCCGAATATATGAAAGCGCCCAGGGAGCCCATAAAATGCAGCAAACAAAATATAAAAAGGAATTCGTTAAGGATTCTGTTATACAGGATCCATTAATGACTCTGCAGAGGTACAAGGTATGTGTTGTAACTTGTTTTAAAATATTTATTTATTTATTTATTTTATTTAAAACATTTATATTTCACCCTTCTCACCCCGAAGGGGACTCAGGACGGAGCACAACATATAACATGGCAAACATTTGATGCTGGGACAGAAAATATGTATGCTTATGTAAACATACATAAACACTAAACTCAGTTATCTCAACATTAAAATCAATTCTTTAAAATCATTTCAAATCAAGAATTAGGGTAATAACCATTTCGCAGTTCCTGAATAATCGAGCAACCGCAGAAGAGAAGGAAGAAAAGCAAACAACCACCATGCCCGACTACACAGAGAAGCCATTGAAATCCACAAGCAGGTGGACAATTTGAGCCAAAAGTAGGAAACCATGAAAATGAACAAAATCTGGCTACCAGTGTTAAAAAAACCTCTAAAATCAGGACAGTAAATAAAGAACAGCATTCGGAAAACAGTAGAATTCCAGACAAGAAGCAATCAGGGCCAGTTAACACCTCCCAACAAAGGATTCTCTCAGGCAGGAAGCAGTCAGGCATTGAAGCTGCAAGGCTACTCAATGCTAATCAAGCCGGCCAATTGCAACATTCACACTTGCCTCAGGCAGACAAAAGTTATTTCTCCCACCCTGAATATTCCACAGATACATAAACCACCATTGATTATATAATTTATTTGCTCATTATGTATGCTACAAATCTGATTGCTATTTTGGTTCTCAGGATTTCATGTCATCTGTCTGTGGTATACTGTTTGGAGCTCTATTTCCTGGTTCGTCCCATCCAACCAGATTCACAGCACTGACTCTTTTGGGAATAATAACTGAAACATTTCCTGTTTTAGAAGGTAAGTTGTTTGGAAAATAGAGTGAGGAAGGACTGGAAATGCTGTACAGAGAGATGAAAATACCCTATGGCCTGTTTATTCCTCTTGATAGTTTGTTTCTGATGTTAATAGATAGAACTCTTACATTTCTGAATAGCCCAGTTAGATCTTTCCAGACAGGAAAACCAAAAGCTTATTACAGGCTAAGCCTGTTCTGTAGCCCTGCACAATTCTGTATTCTAACATACAGAACATATGTATCATGACATAAACATACATTCATCGGTCATCAAATATGAATTTATGGAAGTTGTTTTAAAATGGACAGTTTTAGGCCTAAATGTAGCCTGTTAAATTGGAATATATCATAGAATTGGAAGAGACCTCGTGGGCCATCCAGTCCAACCCCTTGCCAAGAGGCAGGAAAATCGCATTCAAAGCACCCCTGACAGATGGCCATCCAGCCTCTGCTTAAAAGCCTCCAAAGAAGGAGCCTCCACCACACTCGGGGCAGAGAGTTCCACTGCTGAACAGTTCTCACAGTTAGGAAATTCTTCCAAATGTTCAGGTGGAATCTCCTTTCCTGGAGTTTGAAGCCATTTTTCTGCATCCTAGTCTCCAGGGCAGCAGAAAACAAGCTTGCTCCCTCCTCCCTATGACTTCCTGTCACATATTAATACATGGCCCTCATCATGTCTCCTCTCAGCCTTCTCTTCTGCAGGCTAAACATGCCCAGCTCTTTAAGTCGCTCCACATAGTGCTTGTTCTCCAGACCCTTGATCATTTAAGTCATCCCCCTCTGGACACATATCTGAAAGAATGTATATATGTTCTTTTCACGGTAAGTGTGGCATATCTGCAATAGTGTTTGTGTGTTGTTTGTCTTTTTTAAAAAAACAGGACAGAACCAGGAATTATTTCAAATTGCTCAAGAGGTCAATCCTGCTCATATTCAAAGTCTACTCCATTGTTTTGCCAGCACTTTTGAGGAAGTAAAGGTTTTGGCATTTCATCTCCTGATGAAGCTTCATCCTGCCCTGCCTTATTTTCAGGTATGGACACACTTATAATTGGATCCTATACTAAGAAAGGCGCGATATGAATTGGACAGATAGGTAGATATTATATACATGCCAGGTCTGTTTTGTCTTCAGAATATGGAGACATCCAGATGACATTTGTCTCACAGAGATCCATGGGATAGTGAGCTGCACAACCACTATTTTCCGAAATAAGATTGCTATTCCTTCTATGCTATTCCTTCTTACCTCTAGACTTAGGATTGTGATGGCAACCATCAGGATTTGTGTAATTCCTTCATCATATCTTTGTAGCAACACATACCTAATAATTTGAATATTGTTCCAATCTAATACTGCGTATTTCCCAAAAATAAGACATTTCTAAGCATTTGCGCAATATAAACCATAGCCTGAAAATAAGACATAGTGATAGACGTGGCCATGCAGCAGAGCTGTAAAGAAGACGAGCAGCCCCATCAACAAGGTTGACTCCCCCTGTCAGGTCTCAGTTGTTCCGTGGGTGCTGCAACCTCAGGCATAGATGGATATAGAAAGTCAAAGTAATAGCCTCCTCAGTGAAGTGAGGAGTAGGACACTCTGCTTTAGGTATTGTGTGTCCTCAGGGGGAAGAAGTAAAGCTGTGGTTGTCGTTTTACTGAGCACCGAGTGTCTCTAACCTAGCACCAACCAGCAACAATCTGTCGGTCTTATTTAATAAAAAATAAGATATCCCCTGAAAACAAGGCATAGTGTGTCTTCTTGAGGAAAAATAAATATAAGACAGTGCCTTGTTTTTAGGAAAGCATGGTAGTAATGAAGGATCCCCATGCAAGTGGAAAAAAGTGGATTAAAATGTTTTTATATATTTTAGAAAACCTGTAGAACACCTGTCTAGGAAACTATGGTATATGTCCTCTAGCATGACTCTATAGTCAACTCCTGGTGGAAATTGAACATAGACTTGTACTGGAGGACTTAAGAGATTTCTAGCCAGATCATTTTAAACAAACCCACAAATAATCAAATCCACAAAAGTCAAGCCCACCAATGTGGAAGACTGACTATAGTTGTTTTCTGCTAGTTTTAAACAAAAAATGTGATTAGAACACCCATCAGTACTTTAGGCCAGGGGTTCTCAAACGTTTTGATGCAAAAGTATTGTGGAGCCCCAATAAATGTTTATATATTATATTATATTATATTATATTATGTTATATTATATTATATGTATATATATATCAGGCATGGACCAGGCCAGTGGCAGATGGATGGAGAGTGTTTGTGTGAACTAATTCACACAGTGCAATATTTAAAATGAAAAACAATTCTAACCAACATAAACTTAACAGTATTTCAATGGAAGACCCCCGACGCCATCCAGTCCAACCCTCTTTTGCCATGAAGGAGAAACACAAAGCACGTCTAATAGATAGCCACCCAGCCTTTGTAATAACAACAACAACAACAGAGGCTCCGGCATAAGCCAGTACAGGTGGTATCAGTGGTAATCAGCACACCTGGGTACCATGCCAGAAGATCTCAGCCAGCATTCGGAAACAATAAACATTGACAAAATCACTATCTATCAACTGCAAAAGGCCACCTTATTTGGATCTGTGCGTATCATTGGAAAATACATCACAGTGTCCTAGACACTTGGGAAGTGTTCAACTTGTGATTTTGTGATACTGGGACATACAGTGTTTTTTGTGTCAGTAAAATAATAACAGAAACCCCAAAGGAAGTGGGGCACCCGTAGAGCCCCTGAGCACCTCTTGCAGAGCCCCTAGGGCTTCCCGAAGCACAGTGTGAGAACCGCTGCTTTAGCCAATGAACTTGTAATTGAAACTGTTGAACTTTTTTCTTCCTATTTTAGGATCCTGAAAAATTGCAGCCATTGTTTGAAGTAGCAATGCAGCTCAGCAAAAGTACCAAACCCTATGACTGTGTGACTGCTTCTTATTTACTCAACTTCTTAATACAGCAGAAAAATCTGCCAAAGATTCTCAACACATTTTATCCTAATGTGAATATGCCTCATGACCCAGTGGAAGGAAACACTTTGGCTGGTCAGTATTGAGCAGCAGAAAAACTGTTTGCTTTTGTTTTAAATTTTCGTATAATTTGATATCTAGCCTATCCTAGAAATGAAGATAGTATGGCCAGCATGTAAAATATCTTGAAGAATATGTTTATTTTCTTTTTTTTAAATGGCGTTAAGCTTTCAATATATGTTGACCCCTTTTTTCAGATGTCTTGCTTTTGATTATTTTCCTCTTGTCTTCTGTTTTAACTGCCCTGGGATTTTGTTTTAAAAGAAATTCAAAGGTGGTATATTTTTCTGTAATTAATAAATCCCTGTTGTGATTTTTTATCCTTGGATTTGATTAATATTTCCCCTCAAGAAATTCCCAGGTCCTCCAGCACAATTCTATGGTCAATATCTGGTGAAAGTGGAACATAGAGCCATAATGGAGGACACAGCGTTGTGGAGATGTGCTCTTTTTTATTTGTGTTTTCCCCCCCAATTTCACCCTTAGCCTGTAAAGTGGAGGGGCCTCCTGAACTTCTTACTTCATATTTGAATTAATGTAAAGTAAAGGTAAAGGTTTCCCCTTGACATTAAGTCTAGTCAAGTCCGACTCTTGAGGGGTGGTGCTCATCTCCATTTCTAAGCCGAAGAACCGGCGTTGTCCATAGACACCTCCAAGGTCACATGGCCAGCATGACTGCATGGAGCACTGTTACCTTCTCACTGGAACAACACCTATTGATATATTCACATTTGCATGTTTTCGAACTTCTAGTTTGGCAGAAGCTGGGGCTAACAATGGGAGCTCATCCCACTCCCCAGATTAGAACCGCCAACCTTTTGGTCAGTATCTTCTGCAGCTTAGCGGTTTAACCTGCTGTGCCACCAGGGGTCACCTGAATTAATGTACTCAAAGCCAAATGTGATTTTTAATGTTTGATTATTTTAGTAAATTAATTTGAATAATTATTTCATAGAAAGCCTCATGTATTATTATAATTAGTGTCCATAACAGGACTCCAAGTAGCTTACATTGAAAGCATCTTGAAATAGTAATGGTAAAGGTTTCTCCAGATATTAAGTCTAGTTGTGTCCGACACTGGGGGGTGGTGCTCATCTCCATTTCTAAGCCGAATTGCTGGCATAGTCTATAGACACCTCCAAGTTCACATACACACGCAACACACACACACACACAGTATTAAACATCAATGGTATTAAAAATTCATAGTTAAAATCCATGAAAACATATTCATAATGATTGAAATGTGCAAATTTTGCCCTGAAATTTGTGGGTGTGGATTTTCAAAATCAACTTTTGAAATCTTCCTAAGTAGCTCTGTTGAGTTTACCAGTATGTCTTTTGTCTGTTTTTTAATATATATAATAATATTTGTATGGAATAGATTTTTACTGAGACTTCAGTAATTATTGTTGTTTTTTTGCTGCATTTGCACTAATTTGCAGTTATCAAGTACTTGTTGCTGAATCTTGAAAGAGAAATACTGCAAGCTGAAAAGTCTTTACTGCAGGCAGCTGCTTTATTTCCAATGTATGGTAGAGTACATTGTATAACAGGAGCTTTACAGCAGCTATCACCAATGTGAGTATGTTTACCAAATACGTTTCTTGTTCTGTATACATGTTGCTGTAGTTCTGCAAAGTTTTGCTTATGACATCTGACCTAAGTTCCCCACCGCTTTCTCTTTCACTTGAAGGATTGAGGGTTCTTTGTCATTTGTCAGGAAACGTGTATCTGTTTGGAGGCTCTCTCATCACCTTCTGGCTGCCTGAGCTCTGAACTTGTGAACAGTTAGATTTAGCTTCAATATTATACTTATACACACTTTCAGGGTGTTTTAACAAGGGAGAATGAGAAGGCAGCTTAATAATCCTTTAGGCTATCATTAAAATGGGTACATACATATTTATACACTTTCCCCTTGGGAAGCAATAGTGACTCTCATAGGCCCTTCCACACAGCTGAATAAATCCCACATTTTCTGCTTTAAATTGGAATAGATAGCCCAGTTCAAAGTAGGTATTGTGGGATTTTTGCTTCATGTCCAGAACTAGATAGCAACTTGCACTTCTTAATATGTTGCTGTCTGACACAATTTAAGCTGCAGGGCTTGAATTTTGCAGAGCATGTGCCCAAATTAACACTTGGCCTGTAACGCATCCAATAATGAAAAGTTTGTAGAGAATAGGTTTTAAATTAAATATAAATATAGTGTACCGATTGTTTAGATTATTGTGAAGTGTAGTTTCTTGAACCATTTCTAACATTTTGCCTATCACTTACGATACATAAGGGTGTTTTGAATGTGATTTCCCTGCTTCTTGGCACGGGGTTGGATTGGATGGCCCATGAGGTCTCTTCCAACTCTGTGATTCTATAGTAACAGAGTAAACTGCTACTATTTTCCATGTAGAAAGCTGCTACCCTTATTATGCATGAATATTGATCACCTCACTACCTCTGAGGATGCTTGCTATAGATGCAGGTGAAACATCAGGAGAGAATGCTTCTAGAACATGGCCATATAGCCCAAAAAACCTACAACAACCCAATATTGATCATTGTTACATGGGATTAGTATCCTATTTATAAAATGACTTGACACAACAGAAGTAATGTACTTATGGAATCTCCTATCATTAGTGTGAACAGTGGCATGTTACTAATAAGAAATAAAGGAAAATAACATATGGCAATAAAATCGATCTCTTGTTTTGAACTGTGGTATGAATTAAATGATATTTCTATAGGAAGAAACTAGTTTAGTTCTAATCGCTTAATGTTTATGTTGTTTTTGTGATGACTTTTTCACCGTGAATTCCCTGATTTGTCTCCTTACAGTAGAATGACAGTGATTTCTGAATGGAAAGAGTTGGTGGCAAAGCTTATTGGAGTATCCTATAAACTCTCTGCTGTAGTATCTCCAGTAGTTCAGAGTTCTTCACCAGAAGGCCTGATTCCAATGGATACTGACTTGGGTAAAACAAGAACATATAACTTAATTCCCCTTTATGGCATTTGTTTGTCTCTCCTTACTGCTAAGTGTCACTTTTCCTTGGATGTTAAAGAATGTGGGATGTCTGGCTCAGCAGCGGTACTTGGGAAAAAGATCTTGGAGTCGGGCAACAAGCTAAACATGAGCCAATAATGTGATGAGGCAGCTAAAAAGGCCAATAGTATTTTGGCCTGCATGAATAGGAATCTAGTGTCTAGATCCAGGGAAGTCACAATACCCTTCTATTCTGCCTTGGTCAGACCACACCTGGAATAATACGTCTAATTCTGGGCATTACAATTGAAGGGAGATGTTGACAAGCTGCAATGTGTCCTGAGAAAGGTGAGGAGAACAAGCCCTATGAGGAGCGGCTTAAAGAGCTGAGAGGAGACATGATGACCATATATAAATATGCGAGGGGAAGTCGTAGGGAGGAGAGAGCAAGCTTGTTTTCTGCTGCCCTGGAGACTAGGATGTGGATTAATGGCTTCAAATTACAGGAAAGGAGATTACCTGATCATTAGGAAGAACTTCCTAACTGTGAGAGCTGTTCAGCAGTGGAACTCTCTGCCTGTGGTGGATGCTCCTTCTTTGGAGGCTTTTAAACAGAGGCTTGGATGGCTATCTGTCGGAGATGCTTTGAACGGCAAGGGGTTGGACTGGATGGCCCATGAGGTCTCCATGAGTCTATGATTTGGGTGTTCCACCGGTAGCTCACCAATATTGTAGGAGTACTGTCTCTTTCAGGCATTTATATGCAGTTCAAGTGAACTTCCAGTTGTTTTCTTTTACAAAAAACTTGATTCTTTATGCAGTTGGTGAGTTCAGCTCTGCTTGATGGATCTCTCTTAATTTGGACAACAATGTGTTGATGTCAGATGTTGCTGACAACCCTTTCTTCACAAATGGGGTTATAATTGTGGCTCTTTCTTTCTTTCTTTCTTTCTTTCTTTCTTTCTTTCTTTCTTTCTTTCTTTCTATAGTCATAGAAAAATGAAGCAATTATAGATTGCTCATTTCTGACCAAGCAGTGCAGATAAAACAGGAATAAAATACGTTTATTGTTAAAACTACCACGGGAGTAAATTACTACTGTTTGAGAACACATCAAGAAATAGAAGTTAAGCCTCAAACAAAGTATTCCCAAATGCATTTGCACATATTTATTAATCTTGTTTCCTTCTTCTCTCCTTTTCCACAGCGTTCCTTATTTTCTAAATGTATATTGTGTATAAAGGTCATGACAGTGACGTTCCTTCCTTTTTGTCACTTTTTTTTTAGTTTTAAAAATTCGTTTCATATAAATCCACTCATAAACTATTAAATATATTGTACCTCTCATTTAGAATATTGTAAAGTGTAGTTTCTTGAACCATTTCTGTCATTTTGCCTCTCACTTATGATACATAATCAATACTTGTTCTTATGACAGTGGTTCTTAACCTGTGGGACCCCAGATGTTTTGGCCTTCAACTCCCAGAAATCCTAACAACTGGTTAACTTGGTGGGATTTCTGGAAATTGTAGGCCAAAACACCTGGGGACCCACAGGTTGAGAACCACTGTGTTATGAAGTGGGCCATTACAGGTTGTTTAGCTTTTATACTAAAGTTTACTCCTGGATGAACTGCTAAAGCATCTTGTATTTGGAATGAAAGAAAAGGGAAGGCAGCAGTGATGTTCAGCTCCTATTTTATTTAACCATGTTAGTTTTAAGCCAGTTTACTGTTTTCCCATAGACACTGCAGAGCGCTTGCAGTCGATTCTGCTTGAGATCCAGCCTTGTGATACAAATGATTATTTTGTGGGATCAAAATTGTTGAAAGAACAGTGCAGCCTGGACTGCGGCGATGTGACAACTGATAACACAACCACCGAAGTAACAGATAATTTAGAAGGTAAGGAAGCATTGAGGTTGTGCTGTTAAGAGATTAAAGATCATTCCAAAAATTTTATCCGTAAAAAGCAGATGTTATTTTTGTGAGACTTTACTTCTGTATGGTTTTTGTAAACTCATTTAGTCACCAAGTATATTCTTCTCTATTGGTCATGTTCCAATGCCTTTCCAAACAGCTAAGAGTTATAAGCATTGGGATGGGATGTAGTAGTAGTAGAATTTGAAAACGCAACACAAAAGCTTGCTTGCATTACCTTTCTTTCACAGACCATCACAATTTTAGTTGGTTTCAAGAAAAATGCTGCTTGCATAAAGACCACTAGGTGGGGATAGCTGAATTTCACAAATTTTGAAAATGCCTTTATTTAAACCTGTACCTCATAACATTAGATGGCTTAAACAAGTCTTTGAGAATGTCTAGCCCCAATGGTCCACAATTAATGACACAGCACTGCACTTTCATCCCATGCCCTTATTCCTTAGCTACAATTTGCATGATCCCATTCCCTTGTCTTGTTTACAGTTTGGCCTTGTCTTACGGCAGTTGTCACCATAGGTTATTGGGTGTTGTTCTGAGTTTTTAATTGTTTTATATGCTATTGGTTTTACTTTTTTTGTATTGTGTTATGTGTTTGTGCATTGTTTTAGGGACTTTGTGTCATATGTAGGCCGCCCCGAGTTCCTTTGGGGAGATGGAGGTGGGGTACAAAAATATAGTTGTTGTTATTGTTGTTGTTGTTATTAAACATATGAACATTGAATATTCTTCTCTTTAAATTCTGTGGTTTTGTCTTTATACATTTAGCCTTTAAATAGAAATGGCTAAATGTATAATGGCTATATTCTCTATTTATTAGTTAACTGGAGGTGCATAGGATTCAATTGAGTAGCTCATAAATAACAATCCTGTGCTTTATATAGCAGGGAAATATGCAGCTGGGCCATCATGACTGTTTTTATTTATCTGTCAGGAGTGAACCAAACAGGTGTATTGCATTAAAAACAAACAAACAAACAAAACACAAAGTTTGCAAACTTGGTAGTTGATTAAATGTCCTTTGACAAGTAGCTGGCCACTTGGTATAAAGTCATGACTGTTAATTCAGTCTAACCTGCCTGCTGATTGGTGTCTCCAAAGCAACTCCAAAAATTATTTTTGTGAAGGAAGTTTTTTTAAAAAAATGGTTTATATTGGTTTAAAGAACACACTAAATGCTGCTCATGATATTGTTATGTCTTTTGCATGTATTTTTTAAGGGGAAGAACAGCAGACATGTGATGTAACAGCTCAGATGGTGCTCGTATGTTGCTGGCGAAGTATGAAGGAAATATCACTACTTCTAGGAAAATTGTGTCAACTTCTGCCCTTAGAAGCATTTCCTGGTTCACATGCGCTAATTACTGTGGAGCTGGTAGGATCTGGGGGCAAAAATGTGTGCTTTGAAATCTTTGCCTGTAAGAACATTGAAAGTACTGGAAAAATGATTGCGGACCTTGGTGTACTGCAGTTGTGTTTGCTACTAGTTCTTGTAATGCTGATATTTTATTGATAGAGGGAGGAAGGTGTAAGAACAGGCATGAGCAAACTTTGGCCCTCCACATGTTTTGGACTTCAACTCCCACATTTCTTAATAGCTGGTAAGCTGGCTGGATTTCTGGGAGTTGAAGTCCAAAACAACAATCCAATAAGACATAACATTACAACATGCATCCTATACCCTACAAGCAAATTAAGAAACATTACATTTGTATTCTGCTCTATCTCCCCGAGGGGACTCAGAGCAGATTACAACATACACAGGTAGGCAAACATTCAATGCCTTTCATACAATGAAATAACAATGACACACAAATATATATAACAAAGGTAAAGGCTTCCCCTTTCATCTCTGGCTTCTGGATGCGATGCTCAACTCCAGCCATGGGGAGGTGCTCTTTCTACATTTCCGAGCTGAGGAGCCTGTTGTCTGTAGATATCTCCTGGCTGCATTGTTGGCATGGCTGCATGGGCGTCTTTATTATCTTCCCACTGAGGCAGTACCTATTGATCTCACATTTGCATGTTTTCAAACTGCTAGGCTGGCAGGAGCTGGGGCCAACAGCAGGAGCTCACCCTGACCCGTGGCTTCTAATTGCGAACCTTTAGGTCAGCAGATTCAACAGTTCAATGGTTTAACCTGTTGTGCCACTGCGGCTCCTTGTCCTAGTCTCTAGAGCAGCAGAAAATAAGTTTGCTCCTTCCTCAATGTGACACCTTTTCAGATATTTAAACATGTCTCCTCTTAATCTTCTCTTCTCCAAGCTAAACGTATTTAGCTCCCTAAGCTTTTCCTCATAGGGTATGGATTCCAGATCTTTTACCATTTTGGTTTTCCTTCCCTGGATACATCCCAGCTTGTCAATATCATTCTTGAACCATGATGCCCAGGTAAGATGGCAGGGGGTTGGCCAACGAGGTCTCTTCTAACTATGATTCTATGAGTCTAAGATCTGACCAAAGCCGAATGGAGTGATAGTTACTTCCCTCGATTTAAATACTAGACTCCTGTTGATGCAGCCTAGAACCGCATTGCCTTTTTAAGCTGCCATATCATACTATTGTCACACCGAGGAGGAGGCCAGCTTGTTTTCTGCTGCTCTGGAAACTAGACACGGAGCAATGTATTCAAATGGCAAGAAAAGAGCTTTCACCTAAACATTAGGGAGAACTTCCTGATCATAAGAGATGTTCAGCAATGGAACATGCTGCTTCATAGTGTGGTGGAGTCTCCTTCCCTGGGGTTTTTAAAGCAAAGGCTGGCCATCTGTCAGGGGTGGTTTGATTGTGTGTTCCTTTATAGCAGAAAGGGTTAGATTGGATGGCATTTCCTGTCTCTTGCAACTCTATGATTCTATGACTCATGCTCAACATGCGGTCAACTGTTTTCACGTCAAGTTAGATGCTGATTACAGCTGTATTTACTTTATTGGTAGACTGCTTTCTAAGAAGGTAGTGACAAATAGCGCAAAATTTTTTGTGGAGGCAAAATTTTCAGGGGCAACTCAAGGCTATTTATATTAAATATAGGGATGTTGAATTCAAATAAAGCACCAGTGTAAGTTGTTTGTGAATTTTCCATGGAGGTATATTTAAATTAACATTTACCAAGGTACAAGATAAAATATTGGAAGAAAAGGTTTTTTAGAAGCACAATTCCATTCTTAATCTACAGTTGGTATTGAGGCCATCCACTTTTGGGGAGCCTTCCGTCTAATAGAGGTTGGGTATCCATTAAAACCTTTAGAATTCACTTACTGACTTTAGTTTCACTTCCACTTAGATGCTTTTCATTTGGCAGACAGCAAGGTGAGATCTGATGAAATTGCCATTTTAGTAAGGCTTTTATGGTCTATAATTTTGGACAGCAAACACATTGATTGATTGAAGATATCATGTTCCCCACAGGCTGGATGACAGAATTATATTCATTCAGGAGTGCTTTTTCTTTTTAAAGCCCTCCCTTTCGAAAGCCCACAAAGACTAGTACACCATCTGGGACTGTTCAAAAGAATGGATTGCAGTGTTTACAAGAAATTAGCTTACCACAAGTATTTCATTTGGAAATGTTTTGGATTTATTAGATTTCTGTTTTTAATTGATGACCTTTTCCCTTTCCCATATGGTTTCAACCAAACTGGTTTCCAGCCTGGGAGTCTGACACACACAGTATGCGTGTGTTTTCTTAAACCCTGTCCCTTTCTTTTTTTATGAGTATGGAAGTGGAGGACGCTCGGAAATAAAATCCCGCTTTTGAAAAACTGTTGTAGCATTTTAGGTGGGAACACTCCTTTCACTATGGACAGGCTTTAAACGAATGCTTTCCTGTGTGTAGAGACATGGAAATAATGCAAATATTTTTATTTGTATATTGTCTAAAACAGCTGTTTTTATCAGGCTGACAGCTGTTCTTGTCTTGTAAAGCACTGGGAGGGCAAAGAAATGACCAGCAATACAACTCCATCATTAAGTTCCTTCTTCTTTTCCAAGTCAAACAGGAATTGGTTTCGTAGAGCTATGCACACTTTCTGATGCCAATGCCACGGGCTTCACATGAAAACATAGCTGTAAATATTGGATGTTTGGTTAGCAGCAATTTTTTAGAAATATCCCAGTTAGCACTCTTTTTATTGACTATTTTTGTTTTTGTAATCGTATTTATCAAACTGGTCCATTTATTGCTTCAGGAGAATAAATTCCAGCCATTACAAAAAGTTAGGTGGTGATCATTTTCCTTTGATTGCATATTTGTTACCTGATGGGAGTCCCCGGTGGTGCAATGGGTTAAACCACTGAGCTGCTGAACTTGCTGATCGAAAGGTTGCAGGTTCAAATGCGAGGAGCTCCTAACAGCTCCTGCTGTTAGCCCCAGTCCTGCCAACCTAGCAGTTCGAAAACATGCAAATATGAGTAGATCAATAGGTACCGTTCTGGTGGGAAGGTAGCAGTGCTCCATGCAGTCATACCGGCCACATGACCTTGGAGGCCATGTCATGCTGGCCAGGTGACCTAGGAGGTGTCTACAGACAATGCCAGCTCTTTGGCTTAAAAATGGTAATGAGCACCAGTCCCCAGAGTCGGATACAACTAGACTTAATATCAAGGGAAACCTTTACTATTAGCACAGAGGAGAAAGGATTTTAGAGTTTTCTTTTTTATAAGCTAGCTTTTTATGTGGAAAGATGTTCTGATTAAACATTAAAAATATTGACCTCTTGCTGTAAACAGAATTGGTCCAATTGATGCACAGAAATCATATAAGGTATTTCGTCATGTTGTTTCTTTCAGCACATCCCAGAACCTGATGAGAATAAGATCAATGTTTAAAATTATTTTCCCTACACAAAAGTTATTTTTCAGTTGTGATTAATTTTAATGTTCAGTTGTATTTGAAATAGGGTTATCGACAGTTTGTTCAAATCACATTTTTTTCCTAGGTGAAAGATATTGGTGAATATTTCAAGCATCATCTTCTGAAGTCAAGGCACAGAGGCGCATTTGAGCTAGCTTATGCTGGTTTTGTTAAGCTCACCGAAGTACTTTCAAGGTAAGTTTCACCAAGTAAACAGGACATTATCTGGCTTCTCATTATCTTGCTTTTTATTGGCTGTACTTACCATCCCTCCCCCATCAGCTTCATCATAATACTTTTATCCCAGCTTATCTACTATTTCAGGCACCATATTGTGGGATAAACTGGGATAGGAACTTCTGTATCGTGATACCCCAGTTATAGGATAACCTGCCCTTGAAGGCCTGATAAGAACCAAAACTGGTGTCATTCTGGTCAAGTCAACGTATGGCTTTTTATTAAAGTTTTATCAGCATTTTTAAATGCTGATAAAACTTTTTAAATTGCCTGGTTTTGAGTGATGAATGATTTCATATATTTTTAGTCTTTTACAATTGTTATTTATTTTCCTGAATTGAAATCCCAACATATAGGGCAGGTTCGAAGTATTTAAATAAATAAGGTTTTAAAACATACTTGACAGCTTTAAAAATGCACACATCTTTGAGTGGTTGCTTACAGTGCTTCTAAGTCTTCTATTGTTTTCTATTTGGCCCTGCCCCAATTTCATGTGGATTGGTCCATTTGACTTAAGTGCCAGAAAGATACTCTAGGTTAACATGCTGAACTCATTCCCAGTGTCATGTTCTCTGTCACTCAGTCTCTCTCACACATCAAGCAGCTGCTTTTTCCAGTAATGTTACTTTAAGTAATGGAGCACTAATGGGAAAATGGCATGGAAAAGGGGGGCGCAATGGCTGACAGGATGCTCAGCATCTTTTGCCCAGAACATCAATCTTCCCTAAGGCAGGGTGGCTTAAAGACATGGTCAGTCTGTGTTTTTTATGGAATTTATTTTAGTATTATGATGTATTTTAACACTGTTATGCTCCATCTCAAGCCGTAAGAAGAGGCAGGTAAAAATAAATTGTTGTTGTTAATAGCAATGATAATTATTTAGTTTTTGCATACTATGTGGAACTGGATTCATGACTGCACCCATGCAAGACGGCAGATACTTGCAATCTTGAAAGATGACTGGCTTTCATTTTGGTGCCAAGTCTAGGAAAAAAAGGTGGAGTCCCCGGTGGCATAGCAGGCTAAACTGCTGAGCTGCTGAACTTGCTGACCAAAAGGTCAGTGGTTCAAATCCAGGGAGCAGGGTGAACTCCCACTGTTAGCCTCAGCTTCTGCCAACCTAGCAGTTCGAAAACATGCAAATGTGAGTAGATCAATAGGTACCGCTTTGGCAGGAAGGTAACTGTGCTCCATGCTGTTATTATTATTATTATTATTATTATTATTATTATTATTATTTACAGTATTTATATTCCGCTCTTCTCATCCCGCAGGGGACTCAGGGCGGATTACAATGCACATATACATGGCAAACATTCAATGCCATAGGCACACAACATATATAGACAAACACAGAGGCAATTTAACATTCTAGCTTCATGAGGGTATGCTCGAATTCCGGCCACTGGGCGAGCTGTCGCTTCAAGGTCCACTTGTGACACCAAGTCCTTGATGGAGTACTTCCTCATTCTTTTGCCTGCTGCAGGAGAATTTTATGGCATTGGAAATGAGTTAAATTAGCCTCCCTGCATAAGCAGTACCTAAATTTCCTACTTGACAGATGCAACTGTCTTTTGCACTGCAAAGGTCAACAGCAAGCTAGACAAATGGTCGGAAACTTACTCCAACCCAGGCCGTCTTCGAACTCATTACCTTTTGGTCAGTGGTGATTTAATGCAGCTGACTCCTAGCCAACTGGGCCACAGCCCGACCACATGACCTTGGAGGCATCTACGGACAATGCCGGCTCTCCGATGTACAAATGGAGATGAGCAACACCTTCCAGAGTTGGACATGACTAGACTTAATATCAGGAGAAACCTTACCTTTACCAGGAAAAAAACATAGGTATTGGCAGCAACCTCCTCACTTTATGGGTCTCACGTATGAATGTATCCCATATTTCACCCTAATCTTGTCTGAGCTAAGCAGATTAAGCTTTGTTAGTACTTTGATAGGTGACCACCAGAAGGGATTTATCGGTGGTCTGTGGGAAGAGCTAGGAAAGAATCCTACTTCCAACCATACAGAGGTTTGGCTGTCATTGAGGGCTGAAAATACTGAGCTTGATGGACCAAGAGTCTATATCAGTATAAGATTTCCTATGTTCCCATTCAGTGGTACAGCGAATGTACTAGGTCTGACGTTCCTTTGTGTGTCCATGGGTTGTTCAATTTAAAAAACTTCCAATGTTTAAGCGGTTCTATTAAACATTGAGATTTGCGGGAATAGTGCAGACAGCTTTTGGAGACAGTAAGTTTACATCCTCCAGGAAAGGCCTGCAGTTTGCTTTGAAGGTCTTCCTGGTGGTTTTATAGGCTGATGTATGTATTTTATAATTTATAAAGGAGTATAAAGAAGATTTACACCAACTATGATGCATAATGTTTTTCCATTTCATTTTAATTTGTTCTTCCACATGAGAATTAAACAAACTAAATTCATTTGGGTATAGTTTGTGTAGCCAGGCTTGAGACAGCTGTCAGAGGGGAGCTAGGATTTGAGCCAGGGAGTCAGATCTGAGGAAATAAGCCAGGACCAAGAGCCAAAAAACACAGGAACACACTAAAATCAGGAAGAGAGCTGTTACACAGGCAAACTTCATCCCAAACAGGAAGCCTTCTATAGTTCTTCCTTTCTAGAAGGACCCAGTGGATGGGCATGGATAGTTAAGATCCTGAGAATCCATCAAAACCTCATTTGAGTATCTTGCTATCTACAGATCTTGTGGCTCCCAGGTTTCTCAATTGTTGTTCTGGCAGTTTCTGAAACATGCATCCATTAATGCACATGTTTTTGTCATAATAAGGAGGCTATCTTTAGGGGAATAATCTTTTGAATTGATTCTACATTGCATCAGGAAATTTGGACCTGAATCCTCTTGGCTAGAAATGGCCATCTGTTGGGGGTGCTTTGAATGCGATTTTTCTGCTTCTTGGCAGGGGGTTGGACCGGATGGCCCACAAGGTCTCTTCAAACTCTGATTCTATGACCTACTGACCCAGTGGGATTTGCTTGTATGTTGATACACTATTCAGCAATTGATTTAGTGGTTCTCCTCCAGTTAGGAACCAACTAGTAGGGTTCAGGTTGACATTCACCACTCCTAGAAATCACACATGCTGTAAGTAATCTTTCCACAACTTGGCTTTTTCATCTACAATATCTGGAGGGCCTCAGGGTGGCAAAAAATCTGCCAGAGATGTGCATTTTCAGTACCATCTAATGGGACATAGGAAGTGGTTCATTCCAGCATCTAAGATGTTAGCTAAGAAATCTGTTCTTCATTTGGTACCACATTCTGACCTTAGTAGATACAACTGCAATGGCCAGACACTTGTAGGGACTTCAGTGGCAGGCAAGGAGACGGAGATGAACTACCCCCTTCCCTGTGCTGATCAGGACCCTGAATTTGAGTGTCTATCTATCTATCTATCTATCTATCTATTAGGCTTGGGCGGTTTCATTCGTTAATTTTGTAATTCGTTATTAATTCATATTTAAATTAGCTTACGATCCAATATTGAGCCATGCAGGACTACTGTGAGGAGTAATTAAAAATCGAAACAATTTTTCCAGTTTATTTCGTATTGTTTTGTAATTGTTCCGTAATTGGTTCAAAATTGTTTCGTAATTGTTTCGTAATTATTTCCGTATGCCTGGTGCAAGTTTTATAGTTGTTGTTTGTTTTATCAGTGATAAAAAATAAATTATCACACCAACAGTCAATAACAGAGGGAGAGGGAAGCTTCAGAAGTCCCCCCTGTCCCATTTGGAAGGTTTTTTAGCATATTGCGCAATCGCGTCCGCCATTAACGAATCGATTCGTAATTTTACGAAATTTCGTATATTTCGAATATTTTTAAAGGAAAATTTCGGAATTCTTTAAAAAAACGAAATGCAAGGGCCCCCCTAAAAATGAAACGAGTTTAGAACCAAATTTTTCCGTGGTTACCCAAGCCTACTATCTATCTATCTACAGTACATGGAAAGGGTGCTGGTGGTGGTGTCCGTGTGGACAACATATAAGGCTGAAACAGTTTCAATACAGCTACCTAGATAGCCACAAAGCCCACAGATAGGCCAGTGTTTCCCGTAAACTCTGGAGTATTCCTCAACTTTGCTTAGTGTGGAGCAAAGTCAGGTTAAGAACTAAAAAAATCCAGGGTATGTGTGTGTGTGAGTGGACAAGCCCTAGATGTAGAAATGGGTTTGAGTGTTATATATATCTACATAAAATCACCTTTCTCTGTTTTCATGTCTGTTTTACATACAGATCTTCATACTGTTCCTTTCTGGCATTTTGAGTGAGTAAACATTGCTTTAAGAGGAATTTATTTTTTTCCAGAGGAGTACATATATAATTGGAGTTTTTCTACATTCCCAACTTTTCTCACCTTTCCACTGGAAAAATCAGGAAGGGAAGTGGAGAACTTTTTTTTCCAAGCCTTTACATTTTTTTCTGCTGACTGTCTAAGGGTTAAATGATATTGTGTCATTGCATTCTACTTCCTCAACTTGACCAAGGTTCCCTAGCTCTGGTTTCTAGCTGGAGGAACAAAGTAGGATCAATCGTGTGTTTATTTACTGCATTCATATCTCGTCCTTCTCACCCCGAAGGGGACTCACACTCAGGGTGGCTCACAAAACAGGCACAATTCAATGCCATATATACATACACAAGTGATATTAATGAGCTGGAACAGTGTATTCGTAGCTTGGAGAGAATATAGAGATTATTATTAAAAAGCTCCATACTTGTATTTGTCTCTTGGGCTGCAAGTTTTCTGACCTTTCTATTACAATCTGCAACTCAGTAGAAAAAGCACTCTGTGAGATCAGATTAGAAATTGCAGTGGACATTAGAAAGCCAAGTGAGTCTTATAGGGGTGAAGAATAAGATTAGTCATTATTTTTTTCTTGGATTCCTACCAAAAAATCTCATTGTGATGCTGTTA